AGAGAAAGAGAAAGAGAAAGAGAAAGAGAGAGAGAAAGAGAAAGAAAGAGAGAGAGAGAGAGAGAGAGAGAGAGAGAAAAAGGAAGAGAGGGGGCGGGGACGGGGAGAAATGCCCCAAAACAGATGCGAGGCCGCATGTGTGGCGGCCGAGCCCCGTGGGCATCGCCTGCCCCCCCCCGGCGTCGGGCCGCCGCTCGCGCGGCTAGCCCGCCGGGCGTCAGAGGCCCGCAGGGGCGCCTGGCGGCAGCGGGGGCGGCCGAGCCTCGCGGGCGGTCTGGGGGGGCGCCGACCGGAGTGGCGAAGAGGAAGGAGAGGGGAGGGAGGGCAGAAAGGAACGGAAAAGGATATGATTACAACCGGCGGGGCGGAGGATGGGGGGGAAGGAGGGGGGGGGAGAGGACTGAGGCGGGATCCATGCGGAGAGCAAGGTAAAGGACCTGACGAAGAGAGGGGGGGGGAGGCGGGGAGGGGCGGGGGGGGGGACAGCGAAGGGCGAGGGCGAGGATGAAGAGGGGGAATGGGGGAGCGTGGAGGACGTGGACGGACTAAGAGCACGAGGAGTGGAAGAGAGAGAACGAGAGAGGGAGAAGGGGAAGGAGGCGGAGGGAGAAAGGAAGGCGGAGGCGGAGAACGGGGATGGATGACATGGGACGAGGGAAGAGGGGGGGAAGCGGTTAAGAGGAGGATGGGGGAGGACGAGGAAGAGGAAGACGAGGAGGACAAGGACGAGGAACACGAGGACGGGGGGGGAAGAAGGATGAGGAGCACGAGCAGGGGGATGCGAGACCGCCGGGGGTCGCCATCTCTGCAAGAAAATGCGCCCCCGGGACCGGGAAAAAACACAGGCGCGAGGGAAGCCACTCGCCCCCCTTACCCGGCAAATTCGATCCGCGAGAAATACATGTGAAAACTCTGGTGGCGACCCCCCTGGCAATTTCCTGATCATCCTCGCCCTCCCCCCCTCCCCCTCCCCCTCCTCCTCCTCCTCCTCCTCCTCCTCCTCCTCCTCCTCCTCCTCCTCCTCCTCCTCCTCCCCCTCCCCCTCCCCCTGGTTTCCTCCTCGCGTGGGCGAGCAGCAGGGCCTCGTCGAAGGCGACTCGAGCGGGGCGCCCGAGGCGCTCAACTGGCCGCACTGCCTCGTCGAATTGGTGCGGAGCCGAGCTGGCCCCGGGAAAATATCAATGGGCACCTGCGGCGGCCCCTGGCTGTTAGCTCAGGCCGCTCGCCGGCCCCCCTCAAACTTGGGATTCGGCGCAGTGCTCGGCCTCATACCCGCGAGAACCTTTCTCGCGAGAATGGCCAACTTGGCCTGCCGACTCTGCCGCCGCGCTGATACGAAATGCGCGCAAGCTCTTTCTTCCTTTTTACCTAACAGCTTGTTCTGATAGGTTTCTAGTGGGGTCAAAAGGGAGCAGCAGATGACTCCACAGGGGGGTCTGGGCGGGTGCCGGACAGGGTGCCGCAGAAGTCGTTTTAAGCCAACAGTCACACACTTCGTGCTCTTCGACTTCCCAGAACTCCTCTTCGACGACTTCCCAGAACTCCATTCCCGGAGGTAGGCCACATTTTCCATTGAATTTTGGATGCCCGGAGCCAACTGTAGGCCACTTCGTGGTCTTCGAGTTCCCAGAACTCCATTCCTGGGCTCCATTCCTGGGCATGATTTTGAATGCCCGGAGCCAACTGTAGGCCACTTCGTGTTCTTCTAGTTCCCAGAACTCCATTCCTGGGCCACATTTTGAACGCTGAGGCAGGCTGATGCTGCGGCCGCAGGCAGGGCTGAGGCTGAGGCAGGCTGAGGCTGAGGCCGAGGCTGAAGGCAGACTGATGCTGAGGCTGAAGCAGGCTGAGGCTGAGGCTGAGGCTGAGGCTGAGGCAGGCTGATGCTGAGGCTGATGCTGAGGCAGGCTGAGGCTGAGGCTGAGGCTGATGCAGGCTGAGGCTGAGGCAGGCTGAGGCTGAGGCCGAGGCTGAAGGCAGACTGAGGCTGAGGCTGAAGCAGGCTGAGGCTGAGGCTGGGGCAGGCTGAGGCTGAGGCAGGCTGAGGCTGAGGCTGAGGCAGGCTGAGGTTGAGGCTGTGACTGCGACTGCCGTTGCCGCTGCGACTGTCATCGCGAATGCGACTACGACTGCGAGAACAGCAGAATTCTACAACTGGATTATCATCTGAATATTAAGGGGAATGCTTTCAGATATGCTTCTACACATCGCTGTTAGGTTGTTTTGCCGGGGTACTCTTTTTAAGAAACCACATTCAATGAACCACAATCGCGTTCCGCGTAAATCATAATTCTGGTAAGCTCGAATGTGGCTCATTGGGTGTTGTTACCTAGCAGCGAAGATTGATAGGTTTCTAGTGGTCTCAAAAGGGAGCATCATAACTCCTCAGGGGGGTCGGGGCGGGACCCGGGGCGGCTGCCGCCGAAGCCGAAATCGCTTGGAACATCCTCGCAAAATCGCTCTTGGCGCTCCCAGAACTCCATTCCCGGGCCACATTTATTAATGCCCGGGGCCAACTGTAAGCCACTTCGTGCCCTTCGACTTCCCAGAACTCCATTCCCGGGTCATATTTTGGATGCCTGGAGCCAACTGTAGGCCACTTCGTGGTCTTCGAGTTCCCAGAACTCCATTCCCGGGCCACATTTTGGATGCCCGGAGCCAACTGTAAGCCACTTCGTGGTCTTCGAGTTCCCAGAACTCCATTCCTGGGCAAGATTTTGAATACCCCAGCCAACTGTAGGCCACTTCGTGTTCTTCGAGTTCCCAGAACTCCATTCCCGGGCCACATTTTGAATGCTGAGGCAGGCTGAGGATGCTGAGGCTGAGGCAGGCAGGCTGAGGCTGAGGCCGAGGCTGAAGGCAGACTGAGGCTGAGGCTGAAGCAGGCTGAGGCTGAGGCTGAGGCAGGCTGAGGCTGAGGCTGAGGCAGGCTGATGCTGGCAGGCTGAGGCTGAGGCTGAGGCTGATGCAGGCTGAGGGCAGGCTGAGGCTGAGGCCGAGGCTGAAGGCAGACTGAGCTGAGGCTGAAGGCTGAGGCTGAGGCTGAGGCTGAGGCTGAGGCAGGCTGAGGCTGAGGCAGGCTGAGGCTGAGGCTGCTGACTGACTGTGACTGCCGTTGCCACTGCGACTGTCATCGCGAATGCGACTACGACTGCGAGAACAGCAGAATTCTACAACTGGATTCTCATCTGAATCTTAAGGGGAATGCTTCCAGATATGCTCCTACACATCGCTGTTAGGTTGCTTTGCCAGGATAATTTGAAAAGTAGCCCTATCTCTTTCTCTCTCTCTCTCTCTCTCTCTCTCTCTCTCTCTCTCTCTCTCTCTCTCTCCCTGTCTCTTCTCTCTCTCTCTCTCTCTCTCTCTCTCCCCCCTCTCTCTCTCTCTCTCTCTCTCTCTCTCTCTCTCTCTCTCTCTCTCTCTCCCTCTCTCTCTCTCTCTCTCTCTCTCTCTCTCTCTCTCTCTCTCTCTCTCTCTCTCTCCTCTCTCTCCCGGGGCCGAACGGTCATTCACTGCCCCTCCTTTGTGCGCTGCTGAAGCGGGGATCCGCGTCGAGGGCTCTGCTCAGTATTGTTGTTTCGTTGTTGCGTCTTTGTCGTTGTCGTCGTCCTCGCCCTCGCGGCTTGGTCGCGGCACGGAATGGTTGCGGGTGGGTCGCGTGGCGGGTGGGTCGCGGGGGGGCCGCGTCGTGGGTGGGCCCGCGCGCGCCGGCGGGTTGCGGGTCGCGAGGGTCGCGGGCGGGTCGCGGCGCGGGTTTGTCGCGGGGCGAGTGGTGGGGGCAGCGGTTCTGAAATAAAACGGGTCGTTCTTGGGCCGCCTGGGGCTTCTTGGGGCCATCTTGGGCGGCGGTTCTGGACCAGAACGGGGAGAGGCGATCCCACGGGCCGCGGTTCTGGACCAGAACGGGGGGCGGGCGATCCCAGCGGCCCCGGTTCTGGGCCAGAACTCAAATGGTTCGACTCCCAGGGCAGCGGCCTGGGCCAAAACCAATCGGTTCTGGAGTGGAACGGGGGGGGTCCGACTCCGAAAACCAGCGGCTCTGGGATAAGGCGAGCGGGTCTGGAGTCGAACAGGGGTGGTCCGACTCACCGGGGTAGCGGTTCTGGAGAAGAACTGATCGGTTCTCGAATGGATCGGGGGACCCCAGTGCCCGTGCTCTCCAAAAGGGCCGCGGGAATTGGAGCCCAAGATGACATTCTGGGGGTCCTCGGGGGGGTCCGAGCGCACGGGGGGCGCGCTCGGACGGTGCAGCATAAAAACTCGTGTGCGGGGGGGGGGGATGGGAGCCGCCTGGGCCGTCTCTTGACCCATCCGTCTCCGCGGGCAATCCGCGGCGTCGCCGCGTTTGGGGAGAGCGGGCTCGTCCTCGTGACAGGTGTTGCGAGCACGGGCCCCTTCTCTCCGAAAGGGGGGATGGAGGGGGGGCGGGTGGGTCGCGAAGGCGACGAGTGGCGAGCGAGTCGCGAAAGGGGGGGGTCGCGGGAGCAGCGCTGGCCCACCCGCTCCCATAGCTCTTATCCGCAATTTCGGAGCTCCTCCCTCCCGCTCCTCGCTGCTCCTCCTCCTGCTCCGGTTCCTTCTCCAGTTCCTCCCCCCCTCTTCCTCCTCCTCCTCCTCCTCCTCCTCCTCCTCCTCCTCCTCCTCCTCCTCCTCCTCCTCCTCCTCCTCCTACTAGCCTAGCTCGCCGCCGTTCAGAGCTGGAAATTCTCGCCGGCTTTCAGACTCAGCTGTTTCTTGGTCATGATGACCAAGGACTTCGGCCAGACCTTCCCCTCTCTGTGAGTGATCTCCCACACGAGGTGGGCGTTGGCGGACCCCGCGAGAGCCGCGTGCGCACTCTGGAAGGTGCTGGACGCGGAGCTGGACGCGGCGGCGAAGACAAGGGCTTTCTTCAGAACCAGCTCGGGAGGGCACACGCCCTCCGAGAAATGGTTGTGCCCGAACACCGCCGAGCACTTGTTGTCTTTGATGTATGTAAGAAGCTTCGTGAGCTTCATGGTGTCGCCCTTGCGCGTGGCCACGAGCTCCTGCCCCGCCTTGAACTCCCAAGGGAAACTCGGCGCACTGACCGAGGTCTTCGGGTCGACGCGCCCGCCCTCGAAGGAGTACAGTACGGTGTTCCCTGGAATCTTCTTGTTCTGGCTGCCGAGAAGACGCAGCTGCAAGGTTGAAGCCGCTGTCAGGAAGATGTCGACCAAGCTGGTCGTGCCCAGCCGCTGCTCCCCAGGCTGCAAGGATGGCAAGGCTGCGGCGGTCGTCTCCGCCGCCGCCGCCGCCGCCGGCGCCCCCGGCGCCCCCGGCGCCGCCGCCGCCGCCGCCGGCGGCGCTGGCGCCGCCGCCGGCGCCCCGGCGCCGCCGCCGCCGCCCCCGGCGCCGCCGGCGCCACTGCCGCCGGCGCCGCCGCCGCCGCCGCTGGCGCCGCCGGCGCCCCCGGCGCCGACGCCGCCGCCGCTGGCGCCGGCGCGCTCTGCAGCTCTGGAGCGGGGCTGGCCTGGGAAGGGCCCCCCTGGCCTGCCCGGTGCTTGTCCCAGATGACGTCGAGGGCCCCCCTGAAGCGCTTCGTCGGGCTCGTCATGGGCGCCGTGCAGGGCACGTAGTTCGGGCCGCAATCGATCACGACGGGGGCCCCCTCGGCAACTCCGCAGCCGTTATGAGTTTTCACCACGAGCTGCAGCAGGCCATCGTTGGGGCCCAATTCGGGGCGCGCCTCGATGATGCAATTCGGTTGCTTCCGCACTCCGCGGTAATCGGCTGCCAACTGGGCCGCGCCGAGCAGGACGCAGTAGAGGCTCTTCGGCACGCCGTCGGGTTTCAAGACGCCGTCGATCTGGATCAGGGGGCCTGCGACGAGAGCGGAATTGCCGCCCTGATTGAGAAAATACCGCAGGCTGGGGATGGTCGAGTACACCAAGCAGGGCGCGTCCGTGATGACGCCCCCTTCGCGCAGGTGCTTACGCGGCACGAGGTGACGCGCGCCGGCCTTCTCCGACACGGCGAGGCTCTTACTCTCCAGCTGGTGGCTCGTCAGTTCAGCCAAGCTTTTTTCCAGAGTGGTCTCGTCTGGGGTGAGGTCGATCCCTGCTCGCCACCCTGGCGTCGACCCGGTCTTCCCGACCTCGTCGAAGCACAGCGTCTGGCTGGGCGGCGCGTCGACGATTACGAAGGACAAGTCCTCTCGGGGGTGCGCAGACAGGGGCAAGCTCAAATGGGGGTCGGGGGGCTACGGGCCATTACCGCTAGCGGGTGGCAGTTCCCTCTACCCCGGGCAGCCCGTGCAGACGTCTCTCAAGACCCCAGCTCTGCTTCGACCTCGCTTCTGCATATCGCCGATCCTCGTCCCGCAGGCGCTTCTTGCTCGGGTCCAGCTTGGCTTTCTCCTTCATGAAGAACTCTCTTTCCAGGATGGCTTGCAGCACGTCGCGGCCGTGAGCGCGGCTGTGCTGCCCCACAGTGCTGTAAAGCACGTGCGATGTCATCTGCAGGCCCCCTGCCGCGAGGACGGGCGCAGGGTGCGCGGAGGTGGTCAGGAGGATCAGGTGCGACGACGCCTCAGCCTCGCCCAGGACCGTCAGCAGCGTGTTGTAGTAAGCTCGCCCGTAGGCGAAAGGCCAGAGCTCCGTCGCCAAGCCGCGGGCGCCTGCTTTCGGCGCCCCCTGGACCGCGATCGGGGCGCCCCCGTCGTCCTGGGGGGGCGGAAATCCCTCGTGGGGAGACGGCCTCTAACACCCGATTTGGGAGCCACGTCATTGCCTTGCAGAGTCCGTGGCATTGCAATGCGTTTGCCCCGCCGCTGCCACGGCGTTGTCATGCCGTGGCCAGTGAAAATACAGTTGCCGTGATATTGCCATGCTGCTCCTCTTCCTCCTTCTGGTATTTTCCTTATTCTTGTCCCTCCTCCCTCATGTCGGCCTCCATCTTCGCACAACAAGGACTGCCCCCCTCTTTGCTTCTACACTTACCTGATCATCTCAGGTCGCCTGGGCGTCGTTTTTGGATGGGCTGGTGGGCATGCCGTTGCCACGCCGCTGCCATGCTGTTGCCATGCTTTTGCAATGCCGTTGCCATGCTGTTTCCATGGCATGGCCATGATGCTGCCATGATGCCGCCATGATGTTGCCACGCCGTTGCCGTGCCGGTGCCACGCCGTTGCTTTCCTGCTGCCATGCCGCTGCCATGATGCTGCCATGCCGCTGCCGTGCTATGCTATACCATCACGCTCTGACGTAGAACGCACCCGTTCTGGAGCAGAACGCCGTGGTTCAGCGCCCCGTCGGCGCCCGACCACCCGGGATCAGGGCCTCGACGATGTGGCGCGGAGTGGCGCGGCCCCACGGGGCCTGACCTGCAAGGCCGCATCCTCGAGGCCCCGACGGGAGAGCGACGACACATGCGAGGTCTTTCCCAGCCCGCCCCCGTCCTCGTCGTCCGCCACCTCGGCGTCCTCTGCGTCGCCCGCCTTGTCGTCCTCGGGAATCTCCCGGCTGGGGTCGGACGCGCGCGGGTCCTTGGCGGTGACCAGCGCCGCGAGGGCAGCCTGCTCCTCCACGGAGCGCAGGGGGCAGGTCTCGTCCCGGCAGCGCATGTGACAGCACTCGGCCGCCTTGGCCAAGCACCGAGATACGTCCAGCTGGCATGGGGCGTTGGGCTGCGCCGGCGACCCCAGCATCAGTAACTGCACGTACTGCGGCCGTTTGGCGCCTCGCCCCGAGCCGGTCTGCCGGGAGCTGCGGACCAGCTGAACTGTAAATTGGTTGCCCTCGGGGAAAATCGCGGCGGCTTTATTCGAGCAGGCGACCAGGAGCTCGAGCCTCCCTGCGGCTGTCGTCAACACTCTGATCTTCGTGGTCGGCACATCCTTCACCACGGAGGCGACTTGCTCAAGCAACGCCAAGGGGATTTTCGCCGTGCTGGTGCAAGCATCTACCAGGACTACGATCTTGGACGAGGGGCCGACGAGGTTCCGCAGATTCTCCTTCATGGCCTGCTCATTCTCGTAGACGTGCACGGCGTCGAGGAAGGCCCCCGCCAGGATGGACGCGGCCTCCTCTGCGGGGTCCCGATCCTCCTCGACCTCCATCCCGACCCCGATGGAAGCCGCGCCCGCGTCGGCGTCCGCGTCCGCGTCGTCGGCGCCCGCGGGGCCCTGGCTAGCCGCCGCGTCGCCGGCCGCGGCATGAGCAGCTGGCGATCCGGCCTTCGGCGCAGTCTCCGGGCCCTTCTTCAGCGCCTCCAGCTCCGCCCACAGCGCGCGGCACTGCGGGATGCCCGGCTTCTCCTCCGACACGCCCTCCAACCTCACCGCGGCGCGGATGCACCCGAGCACCGCCACCCTGACGCGCCCGGAGAAGAGGAACTCGCGCGTGCGGGCGACCCCTGGATGTTCGAAGAGCTTGCCGAACTCCTTCTTCACCGTCCTGAACCAGCGCTCGCACTGCCTGATGACGGCGCAGTACTCCTGCTCGAACACTTTGCTCGACATACCCTTCTGGCCAACGGTGTCGTCCTCGTACCAGGTAAGAACGGCGAGCATCGCCGCTTCCGAGAGCCGCTTGTCGGCCTGCGCCCCGTGCCCCGTGAAGTACGGGTTGTCCCAGACGCAACTGTTCGGCATGCGAACATCCACTATTTTCTGGAGAACGGGCGGTTTCATAGTCTGAGCGACGCAGACCATGCGCCACACAAACGTGCGCTTGCTCTTCCCGTACACCTGCAAGAGGCTCTCCTGAACCGCGTTCCAATCCCCCCCCGGGACCTTGTTACGGAATCTGTTCGCCACGTCCGCCATGACCTTCACCGTGGTGCTCCTGTACCGATTCGAATCCGTGTCGTGCGTCAGGGCATTGTGCGCGACCACTAGGTCGTGATCGTCCTCCGGATATTCCAACACACTCACCTTGATGTCATTCTCGAAAGCATCGAGGAGAGCACCGCTCCACTCGTAGTTGGCGCCTTCCCCGCTGGCGTGAATGGCTTTCACGGCCGTCATCGCTAGAATCGTGCTCTTGCCGTCCGAGAGGAGCTGGCGCCCGTCGCTACCCGTCTTCGCTTGCCCGTCCTGCTGAATCACACTCTGGGCCTTCAACAGCCCTATCCCATACTGCCCAGTCAAGAAAACCTCCTTCAGCTCGTTGACCCTCTCCAAGTTGGCGGGTCTCCACCCGCTCTCCTCGCCCACGCAGATGTCCTCCAGTTTGATCAGGACGCCATCCTTCACGACCTTCGGAAGGCGGGTCTGCGGCCCCTTCGGCGGCATGGGGCCGTCTGGGGACGGGTTGCCCGCTGGAGCGCCGCAGGCTGGCTGGAGCGTCGCAGGCTGAAGGCCAAATGGCTTGGACTGGTGCTATTGGGGCGCTCTTGGGGTCGTTTTGGGCCCCCTCCCGGACCTCTCCTGGGCCACCTCGGGGCCGTCTCGGCGTCTCAAACGATCCTCGGGGGCACTTGGGCGAGAATGTCAAACACACTGGAACGCCCCAGCCTTTTGACAAATGTTGGCCTCGAAAGGGGCTCCTCGGGGGGCTCCGTCCTTGGGGGTTTCGAGGCCATTGAATCAAGCGACGGGCGGCGCCGGCGGCGCGCGGTGGCACGGGCGGGACGGGCGGCGACGGGGCAGCGCGGGCGGCACGTGGCGGCACGGGCGGCACAGGGCGCCACGGGGGACGCAAGCTGGCACCCATGGCCTGATGGTCCCAAGCAAGAACCCTGTAGTGCAAGCACTTGTTCGGGGACTACTGCTACTTTTCTTCCGCCTGCCCTTCCTCCCCCCTCCCCGTCTTCCTCGTCCGGCTCCTTCACCGCCCCTCCCTCCTCATGGTTGATTTTTCTGCCGTTGCAGCGGTGGGGGCGAGAACCCTGTGCCGCAAGCGCTTGTTCGGGGACTACTGATTGTCCTCCGTCTGCCCTTCCTCCCCCTCCCACCTCTTCCTTGTCAGGCTCCTCCTCCGATCTCTCCCCCTCATGGCGGATTTTTCCGCTGCAGGGGCAGCCAGTGCGGAGGGCGCTCGACAAGTCACGGCCTCCGAGCGGGGCCACCGAGCGTGGGCCCCAAGCGGGGCCTTCAAGTGCGGCCTCCAGGTGCGGCCTACCCGCGGGGCCCCCCGGCGTGGCCTCACAGCGCGGCCCCCGAGCGGGGCCTCCGAGCGTGGGCCCCAAGCGGTTCCTTCAAGTGTGGCCTCCCAGCCTGGCCCCCCAGCGCCGCCGCCCAGCGTGGCCTCGAAACACCTGAGCCCTAAACCGTAAACCCTGCCTTGGGACCCGGGGCCGCCTAAGCCCAGCTCGGGCCGTACTCAGGCCCCCGGGACCACCGAAAACGGAAGAGTAGGAGGGGGAGGGATAGGAGCAAGGAGGAAGAAGAGGAGAAGGAGGAGGAGGAGGAGGGGCGGGAGGAAGGAGGAGGGGGGAACAGGAAACGGGAGGGGTGAGGAGGAGAAAGGGGGGGAAGGAACCAAGAGGAGGCCCTGGATTGCCCTGGATTGCCCTGCCCGGGAGCGCGGGCTGCACCGACCAGCTCGCCCGCCCGCCCGCCTCTCCGGCAGAGGCCCCCTGGTGCCTCGCACCCCTGCCTCGGACAGTTTTCCGCCGCCGAAGCTGGGGCGGCGACGGCCCAGGCGACGGCGGTTCGCGTCGACGGCGACGGCGACGGCGACGGCGGCGACGGCGACGGCGACGGCGACGGCGACGGTGACGGCGACGGCGACGGCGTTCTACTCCATACCCGCTCCGTTCTGGTCCAGAACCGCGGCCCCCGGGATGGCCCCCCCCCGCTCTGGTCCAGAACCGCCACCCAAGATTGCCCCGGGAAGCCCCAGGCGGCCCAAGAACGACCGCGAAGGCCCCGCGGGAGCCACAAGACGGCCCAAGAACAACCCCAAACGGTCCCAGACGGCCTCGGAATGCCCCGCCGACACGGCGCGACCGGCGCGCTCGGGGCGCGCGCCGGACTGCGCTGACAGCACGGGCCCCTGCGCTCCCAGGCTGTGCCCAACCCCGCCCTGGCGGAGTGGGGACGACGACGACGACGACGACGACGACGACGACGACGACGACGACGACGACGACGACGACGACGACGACGACGACGACGACGACGACGGCGGCGGCGGCGGCGGCGGCGGCGGCGGCGGCGGCGGCGGCGGCGGCGGCGGCGGCGGCGGCGGCGAGTCCTCGACGACCCACACGTACGCGGGAAGCCCCTGGCCACCGCCAGCGGCGCGCAGCCACCACAGCAGGATGGCCTCCCGCGCGCCGGCAAAGAAGGGCTCCTCCTCCTCCTCCTCCTCCTCCTCCTCCTCCTCCTCCTTCCTCCTCCCTCCTCCTCCCTCCTCCTCCCTCCTCCTCCCCTCACCCCCGATGTCGCAATTTTTGCGCAACGTCGACCCCTGGCGGTCTGGACCCTAAGCCCTATGACAGGATTTTCGCCCTGACGACGACGGCGACGACGACGACGACGACGACGACGACGACGGCGACGACGACGACGACGGCGACGACGGCAACGGCGGCGGCGGGGAAAAGGCCTCCACGCCCACCGCCCCTTGGATCGACCAAGGGAGGGGACGATTAGAAGTTGACCCAGAATCCTTGCAGGGCGGCCGTCCGGGCTCTCTCGAGGTGCCCGGCGAGGGGGTGGGAACAGGCAGCGATGAGGACGAGGACGTAGGAGGAGGGGGAAGAGAAAGGAAGAGGAAGGAGGAGACGGGAGGAGGAGAGAGCGGTAGAAGGAAGAAGGGGGGGGAAGGTGGAGGAGGAGATGGCAAAGGGGAGTGAGGAGGAAGAGGGAAGGGAAATAGCGGGCTGAAAGGGAGGAGGAAGGAGGGATGCTTCTCCCCCTCCTCCCCGCTGTCTTGCCGCACGATCTCTCTACGCCGCACAATCGTACCGCTCCTGCCGCTCAATTTGCCATCGCCGGCCCTCCGCGCTGTCCAGCCACTGCGCCAAGGAGGCGCGCACTGCAGAACCAGCGCGGGGTCGCGCCGCCACGCGGGGGTCCTGGACAAACAGCGGAAGTTGCTGCACGCGCCCGTCGGGCGTTGCCCGCCGCATCTCCTCCAGCACGGCCGGCGGCAGCTGCATGGCTGGCCGAGCTGCCGCCTGGCGCGCCCTCCTCCCTTCCGCGACATCGCTGGGCTGGCTGAACGGGGCGGCCCACGCTGGCGCGGGCGGCGCCGCGCCCACTGCGCCCAACGCCAACCCGCGGGTTATCTCCATTTCGCCCGGCCCAGAATCCTCGTCACTGCTGAATATGTCGGGATTGTGGAAGCGCCGGCCAGAGGCTGCCAACGCGTCCTCTGCCTCGGCCCGCGCCCGGTCGATCGGCCGCGAGTCCACCACCCCCTCGGCCCGGCGGCGCTTCGCCGCCCGGGGCTTCACCAGCGGCCGCTTTCCAAGCGCAAGCAAGGCATCCGACACTTCCCGCACAATCATTTCGTCCCGGGCGCCCCCGACGACGGTGACCTTCGCGTCGTGCAACATGACCTCGTCCATCAGGGCGCCCGGATTGTGGCCGCGGCCCTTCGACCACCTCGCGGACATTAGGCTGCCCACTCGCTCGCAGGGAGCTTCCGCCGAGCCCATGGTCCTGCAGTGGTGGTGAATTCGCACCGCGTGCCAGGCGTTGGCGCTGCCTACCTGGCTCGCGTCCGCCGCCGCGCGGCCGCCAGTTGCGAAGTATGGATCAGAGTCCACAGCGGCGCTGACCGCGGATCCGTCGATCTCGTACAACACGGACTCGACGTGCACGATGCCGCCCCTCCGCCCCGGGATCAGCGCGTGGGCCAAGCCGCCGAGGCTGGTACGACTGCCCCGGGGCCCGGGGCGTCGCCTGCCGATCGGTACCAATGCCTTCGAGGACACGGCGAAACGCTTGCTTGGCTCCCACGGGGCGGCTGGCTGCTCCGGCCTCGGCACCAACGCGTTACCCAGGAAACCAGTCACTTTCGACGCAATCCACATGAGCGTCGCGGACGCGAGGCGAGGTCCCCCAGGCGGAGGTCCGCGGGACTGGGCCCAGAGGTACACGAAGCGCTGCACGGACGGATAGCAGCGGACGGGCTCGACGACGAAGCCGGTCACGCGTCGCCACCCGGACCCGGGCTGGCCTGCCCGCGTCCGCACTCTCCGCATGAGCAGGACGTACTGCGCCTGCAAGGCCGGCACGGCGGGCCAGGCGCGCGCCGCCTGAGGGAGGGGGATGGGCACAACTTCGGGCGCACAATATTTTCGGGCCCATTCCTTTTCGGGCGATAGGGCCGGGGCGGCATGAGAGTCGAAGCGACGCGCAAAAAGCTACAGAAGCCGAAAGAGAGACCCGAGAAAGCCCAGGGAAACCCCAGACGGTCCGAGAGAACCCCCGGACGGCCCAAGATGGCCCCCAGAGACCCCGCAGACGGCCAGCCATAGAGGCCCCAAAAGATGGTCCAAGAAGGCACCGAGACGGTCCAACCCCCTCGATCCTGCCTTGGCACGGCCCCCGCCACCCCAGGGAATTCTCCCTCAGCCGGCCAGAGCGTGTGGCGCAGGAACGGTAGCAGACCGTGGGCGAGCACGCCGAACTGACGGACGTCGTGGGCCGTGGGCACAGTCGACACCAGGCGGTCCCAGTCGAAGCAGGAACACATGGCGGCAACGAGAACGCGCATGGAGTCGTTCTGACCCTGGCTGCCGAAGATGGACTGCTCCGCCGCCACCAGGCGCCCAATGTAGCCCTCGATGGCCGCAAGCCCGGCGTCCACGTCGCCGAGGACGAGCGGCAGCCCGCGCGGCACTTGGCAGCGACCCACCCGACCCAACCCACCTCCTGGTATCTGCACTTGGCGAAAGCGATTGCGAAACTTTCCGGTCATGTCCACGCCGAGGGGCGGCCGGCTCGCGGGGTCCCGGTAGTGGAAGCGGACGGGCGCGAGCCTGCAAAAACAGCGACGCTGAGGAAGGGGCGCGCGACCCGAGGCCACTGGGGGGAGTACAATCGGCGTCGATTGGACGGGGCACCCAGAGGACACGGGACTCTTCCGAGGACAACGCGGCCAACGCGGCCAAGGACAACCAGAGGACGCGCAAAGGACGCGAGGCGAGACCGAAAGGACACAATGGGACCCTGCATTTGGCAGGGTCGACCTGCTAATCAACGCCGACTGTAGCCCGGCCGGGCGGCGCCCTCCGCCACCCCCGGGTTCGCGCCGCTTCGCTCCCCGTCGTGCCTGGGATCGGCAAGCGGCTTGGCCCCGCTTGCCTGCGCGTTGGCCACCCAGCGCGGCATCCGCACCTGGCGCGGCCTCCCTTTCCACAGTAGCCGCCCGCGCGTCTCTCTCGTCAAAAAGCTGCATTGGCAATGCGGCCCGAGACATTGCAGGTGCTCCTGGCCAGGCGGCACAGGGGCACGCACCAACTCCACGTTCTGGAAAGTGGGCGAGCCCTCGCACAGGAGCGCGGGCAGCGCCAACAGAAATCTAGGGAACAGCCTCCCCCACGGGTGCCGAGCGCTGTCGTCGCAGTTGTCGAGCTGGAAGAAGTCGCCCGGCCTGGCGTAAAAGGCGGCTTCCATGAGGCACCGCCGCTCGCCCGGCGTGGCATGCTGGCAGAGTAGCACAACGACGCGGGGGAACTCTCGCAGCCGCCGCGCCGCGGAAAGGGCTCTGCGCATACATAGCTCGCGTCTGCGTTTGTGCGCCTCCAGGACCCACGGCTCGAGGCCGTCGCTCTGCACGATCGCGGTCCACGGCGCCACCGCCCGGCGCATGCAGTCGTGGAACAGAAGGGCAAACACCACGAACTTAACTGCCGTAAGTCGCCGACCTGCGTCCACCAATGCGTTGGCGCTGTACGTCGCGGTCTTGTTGCAGCGGCGCCACTTGTCCCGCAAGCGCAAGCCGTTGGCATATGCCCGGAAATTGTCGAGGAGGTGGCCGGGCTCCCGGGTCAAGGCCACTGCCTTGCGCGTGCCGCCCGGCATTCGTGCACTCCGAAGGGTCGTCACGCCGGCCTCCTGCGCCGCTGTCCGCAGAAGCACGCTTCCATCGCCCAGGTGGAACATCTTGTCCATCATGCTGGCGAGCAAGAAAAGTTCTTCTGCCATGGGTGTCCCTTTAATCGCGCGCACCATGGCGATGTCTTCCCGATGCATTTTGTCCCACTCTGTGCAGATGGCCACGATGCTCGTGCGGGGCAGCGCGGTCTCGGGCGGCTCGGGCGCGGGCGCCGTGCTGACTCGGGGCCCGCCAGCCCGGGGATGGACAGTACCCCATATAATATCTGCGGCGCCTGTGCCCGGGTTCGCCCTGTCGGGCCCCCCGCGGACCACGGCCCCGTCGCCCGCCACGAGCGTCAGCCGCGCTCGCAACTCGGGTAGCTTCAGCGCCAAAGGCGAGTGCTCCAAAGCCTGCAGGGTTCCGACCGCTAGGGCGTCGCCTCCGTGGCCCGCGGAGGGGACCCACCAGCTGGCGAGCCAAGAATGCAGTCGGTGCGTGTGCGGGCTCACGGAACTCATGCATATCACCTCGACATTGCCGTGCCGCCCGCACGCGCCAGCCCCCCCGACCGGCACGCCGTCCATGAGGAGCGCGCAGGAGCTGGGTATCCCCAAGCCGCCCAGAGGAGCCCCAAAGTCCAGCGCATCGAAATGCCGCACGCAGCGCGCCGCCAGGAAAGTGACATCTTCCACGTGCTGGCACGTGTGGTACTTGTCACCCACCGCCACGCCCTCGAGCCGCAGCCGCGCCACGAGTCGGAGGTATTCTGCGCTCGGGGCGTTGCTGGCGCGAGTCCACAGAGCGGCCCGGGTGAGCGTTCGCATGATCGCCGCCTCGTCAGGTAACTGGCCGCCCGCGATCGGGCCCTGCTCCACCTGTTCGACAGCGGGGGGGCGTGGCACCCAACCATGTCCACGAAGGCTCTCGACGGTGCGCTGTACCCGGCTGGTCGACAGGTGCAGTAAGTCCGCCACGGCCCGCCGAGCCAGACTGGTCACGTGGCCCCCCCGCGTCTTCCCTGACACTGCCGCTGCCACAGCCCGAACGGCTTGAAGCGGCAGGCGCTGCAAAGTCTGGAAAACGTTAGCTATGAGAACCTGGCTCTGCTCACTTAGCCCCGCGCCCCTGGCGAACCATCGCCGGGTGGCCTCGCTGGGGTCCCATGCGTCGGCCGCATCGTCGGCGCGACCAAGCGCGAGGCCCCCGCCGTCTTCCTCCGACGCGGCGCCCCCCAGCGAGAAGCCGCCGTCGCCCTCCGAAGAGCAGCTGGGCGACTCTGGGCAACAGGAGATGCCCGTAGCCTGGGTGCGACGCAAGCCTGGGCCAGGCGCCTCGGGGACGGGCTCGCCCGCAAGCTCGACGCCCTCGTCGCTGCTGCTCTGAGAGGCGCAGGACATGACGGACACAGGCGCCTCGGGGACGGGCTCGCCCGCAAGCTCGACGCCCTCGTCGCTGCTGCTCTGAGAGGCGCAGGACATGACGGACACCGCGGCGGCAAGAATACGTCCGAGGGCCAGCGGTCTCCGCGTCGCCGGAGTGGGGCGACGAGAGGTCTGGAACCGAAACGGCTACGGAAGGGAGAGAGGGAGGGGAGGGGGAGGAAGAGGAGCAGCAGGAGCGGCAACAGCACAGGGACGAGCGGAAGTTGGGGGATGTCCGCTGCACCCATGACGAATCCCCCTGTCCATTTCGGGGAAGCGGCCCCCTCTTGGATCGGGATCGGCTCTCCCCGCGGGTCGTTAGGAACGCCGCAATTGGCCTGAGATTGGCGACGGCGGGGCACCCGAAATGCCATGATAGCACCCATCCAGGATGACTTCGAGATCCGCCACGAGATCCGCCGCCGTGCCTCCGGGCACGTCGAAGCGTGGTAGACTGCCCAGCGCTGTCTGGCAGGAGGGGCCCGCTCTCCAGGGTCGCTCGCAGCCGCGCGCAACGCCCCTCCGCGAGGGGCCCGAGACGGCCTGAGGGCACCTCTGGGCACCCCGAGACGGACCGTTTCACCCCAGGATCGCCGCCCCGGGGGGTCGAACCGCCCTGAGGCCTAGCACCTGTCAGCTCCGACGCCTGTCCCCTGTCAGCCCCGAGGCCTGTCACCTGTTAGCCATGAGGCCTGTCACCTTTTAGCCCTGATGCTTTCCACCCGTCGGCCCTGGGGCCTGCCACCTGTTAGCCCCGACGCCTGTCGCGTGTTAGCCCAGAGGCCTGTCGCCACGGCATGGCAGCAACGCAGCAGCAGCTCGGCAGCGACAGGGCAGTAGCATGGCGACGGCATGGCGACGGCATGGCAGAGGCACGGCAACTGCATGGCAACTGCATGACAGCGGCATGGCAGCAGCCTGGCAGCGGCATGCCCATGACACGAAGCGCGGGAACTGCATGGCAACGGCATGGCGAATGCACGGCAACGGCATGGCGCAAGCATGGCGGCGGCATGGCAACGGCCAGGCAACGCCCGAGACGGCCAGGGAGCACCTCTGGGCACCCCGAGACGGACCGTTCTACCCCAGGATCGCCGCCCCGGGGGGTCGAACCGCCCTGAGGCCTGGCACCTGTCAGCTCCGGCGCCTGTCCCCTGTCAGCCCTAAGGCTTGTCACCCGTTAGCCTGGAGGCCTGTCACATGTTAGCCCTAATGTTTTCCACCCGTCGGCCCTGAGGCCTGTCACCTGTTAGCTCTGACGCCTGTCCCATGTTAGCCCAGGGCCTGTTGCCACGGCATTGCTCGCAGCGCGGCAGCAGCTCAGCAGCAGCATGGCGACGGCATGGCGACGGCCTGGCAACGGCACGGCAACTGCGTGGCAACTGCGTGGCAGCGGCATGGCAGCAGCCTGGCAGCGGCATGCCCGTGGCATGGCATCAGCGCGGGAACTGCATGGCAACGGCATGGCGAACGTACAGCAGCGGCATGGTAGCAGCATGGCATCAGGATGGCCACGGCATGGCAGGAGCATGGCCACAGCCAGGCAAAAGCATGGCAGCAGCAGCCTGGCGGCGGCACGGCCCGAGCTCGGAATCCGAGTGGTGACTACATGGCGACCGCTAGGCAGCAGCACGGCAACGGCATAGCGACAGCATGGCAGCAGCATCGCCACGGCATTGCACGGCACCGGCGAAGAGGCAGCATGGCAACAACAGTATAGCATCGAGGCCCCGGCACGGCAACGGCATGGCAACAACATGGCGACAGCATGGCAACGGCATGGCAACGGCGCGGCAACGACATGGCAGCAGCCCTGAATCAGCATGGCAGCAGCATGGCAGCGGCACGGCCTCATTACGGCCACGGCGTGGCAGGAGCATGGCCAGAACCCGGCGGGACGTGCTCGCATGCCGCACTTGACGACTTTCCAGAGCGGCCGAGGGAGGCACCGGAGCGGAGCAGCCCCCACCGAACTCTTGTTCTCCCCCTTCGGGGGCCTGGGGGTCCCACCCCAGATGACCCCGTTCGGCCCGAACGGAGTCATCTGGGGGGGGACCCCCCGGCCCCCCGAAAGGGGAAGACAAGAATCCAGGGCGGCCGCGGGAGGCACCCGAGCGGCAGACATTCGTTTTCCTTTTTCGGGGGGGCGGGGGGGCCCCCCCCCAGATGACCCCGTTCGGGCCGAACGGGGACATCTCGAGGGGGACCCTCGGCCCCCCGAAGGAGCGAAACAAGAATCCATAGCGGCCGCAAGAGGCCTCAGAGCGGAGCAGCCCCCACCGGACTCTTTTTTTCCTCATCTCGGGGGTCCCCAACATCCGACCCCCAAGATAAAGACGACGCTCCAGGAGTCGTCCAGGCGTCGTCTTTATCTTGGGGGTCGGATGTTGGGGACCCCCGAGATGACCCCGTTCGGCCCGAACGGGGTCATCTCGGGGGTCCCCAAGATCCGACCCCCCAGATGAGGAAAAAAAGAGTCCGGTGGGGGCTGCTCCGCTCTGGTCGCGCGAGCGGCCGCTCTGGGGAATCGAGGGGGGCTAGCGACGATTGCGCACTCGTGTCCGCTCGATTCCCTCCGAACATCTTGGTCGAATGACCCCCCGGGTGGGCTGACGTTGCCGCCGCCGTCGTCGTCGTCGTCGTCGTCGTCGTCGTCATCAACAGCACGGCAACGGCATGGCAACGGCATGGCAACTGCATCGCAACTGCATCGCAACGGCATGCCCAGGCACGGCAGCAGCGTGGCTTCGGCATGGCAGCAGCGTGGCAACAGCATGGCAGCGGCATTACAACGGCATGACAACGGCATGACAAAGGCGTGGCATCGGCATGGCAGCGGCACGGCAGCAGCTTGGCATCAGCCTGGCAACGGCGCGGCAGCAGCACGGCAGCTGCGCGGCAACAGCGCGGCAGCAGCATGGCATCAGCAGGGCGACGGCATGGCAACGGCATGGCGACTGCATAGCATCTGCTCGTCAACGGCATGGCAGCAGCAGGGCGCCAGCACGGCAACGGCATGGCAACAGCGCGGGATCTGCATGGCATCGGCATGGCCGCTGCATGGCTGCATGGTAACGGTATGATGACAGCAGCATGGCAACGAGTGGTTCCTCTTCCCTTCCGCCTTCCTTCTGCCCCTCCTCCTCCTCTTCGTCCTCCCCTCCCTCCATCCCTCCCACCCTCCCTCCTCCGTCCTGCTCGCTGGGCTAATCCCGGCTGCGTCGAACCCAGGGCGCCCTTGCCCCCATGCGATACCCGAGCGACTGGGCCTCGGAACGCCTCCAAGTTGCGAAGGGCGAAGGAGAAGGAGGAGGCAGAGGAGGGGGGGGAGGAGGAGGAGGAGGAGGAGGAGGAGGAGGAGGCGGAGGAGGAGGAGGAGGTGGAGGTGGAGGGGCAATACCAGGGGGAGAGGGCGAGAAGCAGCAAGAGCGGGGGCAGGATATGATGACCAGAGGGGAGGGGGGAGCAAACAAAGGCGAAGTACCACAGTGGGCCTCGAAGAAAACTGGATGGTGAGCGACGCTCCCGATTGCTAAAGCGCCGCCGCCGCCGTCGACCGAAATCCGGTCAAAATCGGTTCCTGGACACCTCCTTTGACCCCCCTGACGCGGTTTCCCGCCCCGGATCGATTTTTCGGGGTCCCGGGGCCCGAAGACGGCCCCCGTTCTGGTCCAGAACCGCGGCCCCTGGGATCGGCCCCCCCCGTTCTTGTCCAGAACCGCGACCCCTGGGGTCGCCCCGCCCGAGTTCTGGTCCAGAACGGCCGCCCGAGATGGTCCCAGGAAGCCCCCAGCGGCCCAAGAACGACCGCGAAGTAAGACTCAGGTATGGGGGACTCGGGTTGGTCCGACGGGGCCACATTAAAATGACGAGGCCCAATCTGAAATTTGACGCGAGCTCCCGCTGCAGACATCCCACGAAAACGGGACCGTCAGAATCCAGGACGCGCTCGTCAAAAAAAACGTCGGCAAACCCGAGTTCCGGCAGACTCCGGTCTTGCGTTTCCCCGAGTGATAGCCGACCCCAACCCTAAAGAAAGACTGCCCGTGCCGGACATGAGCTGACAACTCTCTGCGGCGCCAGACAGCTGCTCGTGGCCCACGCCCGCGTCGCGCGGGAAGGGGCACGCCGCCCCTCGACGCAGAACCCTGCTCCGAGCCGCGGCCGCCGAGGTCCCCGCGGAGACCTCCAGAGACCCGACCCATGGCGGTGAGGTCCGGAAAAAATGGGTGCCAGAGAAACGGGTGCCAGAGAAACGGGTACCGAAAAAGTGGGTACTCCTCCTCCTCCCCCTCCTCCTCCTCCTCCTCCTCCTCCTCCTCATCATCATCCTCCTCCTCATGTTTTTCCCCTCCTGACAGATGGGTGCCGGAAAAAAGGGGCACAATGCCCAACAACAGATGTTGTCCCAAGCCAACAGCGGCCGCTGTTGGACAGGCGGCCATCTGTCTCAAACGGACACAGCCGCAGCGGCGCGGACGGCGAGTCCTGCTCAGAACGGACAGGAACTGCTGTTGGGCATTGTACCCCGTCTTTCCGTACCCATTTCGTTCGCGCCGGCCCGAGAACCGACCTGGCGGCGTGGCCCGGAGCCGGCTACCACGCAGCGCGCTCCTGCTCCCCAAGCCCGCACCTGGCTGCCAGATGCTGAAGAGGCCCTGGGACGCACAAATAAATACGCACAGGTAACAATTCCCCACATCTTCCCATACTTTCTGGGTTATCGTCTTCCCCCCCACTTCCCATAGTTTCTCATATTTTCCTGGGGATGGACGATTCATTGTGTGTGTCCTCCTCCACCTCCTCCTCCTCCTCCTCCTCCTCCTCCTCCTCCTCGTGTTTTTTCCCCTCCTGACAGATGCGCGGGGCGGGGGCCCCCGGCGGCCGGGCGCCGGAAGGCGCCCTGGTCGCCGGCGTACGCCTCGACGTGCTCCCGGAAGCTGGCGCCCCTGCCGGGGCGCAGGGGGGCGCACTGTCGGGGGCGACGATGGGGGCGAGTATCGGCAGTGGACAAACCTCCCTTT